TAGATCTTTCTATCTTTTAAGGTCTTTTTTGATTTCTTTCTTTAGGGTTCTGTAATTTTCTTTACATAGACCTTTCACCTCTTTTGTCAAGTTGATTCCCAAGTTTTTTTTTTTTTTTGAGGCTATTGAAAATGGGGTAGTTTTCCTCATTTCCATCTCAGAGGATTTGTCACTGATATACAAAAATGCCTTTGATTTATATCCTGCTACTTTGCTGAATTCATTTACTAGTTCTAGGAGTTTTCTGGTGGAACTTTTAGGGTCTTCCAGCTATAGAATCATATCATCAGCAAATAGTGCCAATTTGAGTTCTTCTTTTCCTATGTATAACCCTTTAATTTCTTTCATCTGCCTAATTGCTCTGGTCAGTGTTTCAAGGACTATGTTGAATAGAAGTGGTGAAAGAGCACATCCCTGTCTTGTTCCAGTTTTTAGAAGGAATGCCTTCAATTTTTCTCCGTTTAGAATGATGTTGGCCTGGGGCTTAGTGTAGATACCTTTATGATGTTGAGATTATGTTCCTGTTATCCCAAGTTTTTCTAGTGTTTTGAACATAAAGGGGTGCTGTATTTTGTCAAATGCTTTTTCTGCATCTATTGAGATGATCGTATGGTTCTTATCTTTAAGTCTATTGATGTGATGAATTACATTTATTGATTTCTGTATGTTGAACCAATCTTGCATCCCTGGGATGAATCCCACTTATCATGGTGCATGATCTTTTTGATATGTTTTTGTATCCGATTTGCCAGAATTTTATTGAGAATTTTTGCATCTATGTTCATTAGAGATATTGGTCTGAAGTTTTCTGTTTTGTTTGTTTGTTTGTTTTGATGTGTCTTTGCCTGGTTTTGAAATCAGAGTGATATTGGCCTCATAGAATGAGTTTGGAAGTGCTGCCTCTTTTTCTATTTCCTGAAATAAATTGGAGAATATTGGTATTAGTTCTTCTTTAAAGGTCTTGTAGAACTTGGCTGTGTATCTGTCCAGTCCTGGGCTTTTCTTGGTTGGTAGACTTTTGATGGTGTCTGCTATTTTGTCACTTGAAATTGATCTATTTAAATTGTGCATATCATCCTGATTCAATTTGGGCAAATTATATGACTCTAGAAATTTGTCAGTGCCTTCGATATTTTCTATTTTATTGGAGTACAGGTTTTCAAAATAATTTCTAATTATCTTCTATATTTCTGTAGTGTCTGTTGTGATATTTCCTTTTTTTATCACGTATGTTAGTGATTTGAGTTTTCTCTCTTCTTCTCTTCATCAGCATGGCTGAGGATCTGTCAATTTTATTTATTTTTTCTAAGAACCAACTTTTTGTTCTGTCAACTTTTTCAATTGTTTCTTTTGTTTCAATTTCATTGATTTCAGCTCCGATTTTTATTATTTCTGTCTTCTGTTGCTTTTGGTGTTGATTTGTTCTTCTTTTTCTAGGGCTTTGAGAAGTAATGTTAAGTCATTAATTGTTGACTTTTTCTTCTTTTAAGGAATGAACTCCATGCAATGAATTTTCCTCTTAGAACTGCTTTCATAGTGTCCCAGAAATTCAGATATATTGTATCTGTGTTCTCATTCACCTCTAAAAACTTTTTAATCTCCTCCTTGATGTCTTCTGCAGCCCATTGTTTATTCAGTAGCATATTATTTAGTCTCCAGGTGTTGGAGTGGACTTTATTTTTTATTTTGTCATTGATTTCTAATTTCATTTTGTTATGATCTAGTAAAATGCAGGGTAGTATCTCTACTTTTTAATATTTGCTAAGAGTTGCTTTGTGGCATAGTATATGGTATATTTTAGATAAAGATCCATGTGCTACTGAGAAAAAAATATATTCTCTTGTTGAAGGTTGGAATATTCTATATATGTAAGTTAAGTCTTAAGTTATTGATTGTATTATTGAGTTCTGTAGTTTCTTTGTTCAGCTTTTGTTTGGAAGATCTATCTAGTGATGAAAGAGGTTGTTAAATTCACCCAAGGGGCTGAGGATGTAGCTAAGTTGGTAGAGTGCTTGCCTACCATACAAAAGGCCCTCAGTTCAATCCCCAGCACCACAAAAAAAAAAAAAAAAGAAAAGAAAAAATCCACCCAAAACTATTGTGTTGTGGTGTACTTGACTCTTGAACTTGAAAAGAGTTTGTTTGATGAACATAGCTGCTGTGTTGTTTGGGGCATATATATTTATAATTGTTAAGTCTTGTTGGTGTATGGATCCCTTGAGCAGTATGTAGTGTCTTTCTTTATCCTTTTTGTTTGACTTTAGTTTGAAGTCTACTTTATTTAGATATGAGGATGGAAACCCCTGCTTGTTTCCACAGTCTATGTGAGTGGTATGATTTTCTCCAACCCTTCACCTTCAGTCTGTGAATGTCTTTTTCTATGAGATGTGTCTCTTGGAGGCAGCATATTGTTGGGTCTTTTTTTTCCTTTCTTTTTCTTTTTTCAAATCCAATCTGCTAGTCTATGTCTTTTGATTGTTGAGTTTAGGCCATTAACATTCAGGATTATTATTGAGACATGATTTGTATTCCCAGCCATTTTTGTTTATTTTTGGTATTTAACATGACTAGGTTTCTCCTCTGATTAGATTTTCCTTCAATGTAATCTCTCCCTCTGCTGATTTTCATCATTGTTTTTCATTCCTCTTCTTGGAATTTTGCTGAGGATGTTTTGTAGTGCAGGATTTCTAGTTGTAAATTCTTTTAACTTTTGTTTATCATGGAAGGTTTTTATTTTATCATCAAATCTAAAGTTTAGTTTTGCTGGAAATAAGATTCTTGGTTGGCATCCATTTTCTTTCAGAGCTTGGTATATGTTGTTCCATGATCTCCTGGCTTTGAGGATCTGGGTTGAAAAATCTGCTGAGATCCAAATTGGTCTCCCCCTATATGTGATCTGTCCTCTCTCTTGAAGCTTTTAGGATTCTATCCTTATTCTGTTGCTAGACGTTCTCATTATAATGTGACTTGGTATAGATCTGTTGTAATTTTGTACATTTGGTGTCCTGTAAGCCTCTTATGTTTGGTTTTTCCAATTTCTTCTTCATGCTTGGGAAATTTTCTGATATTATCTCATTGAAGAGATTGTGCATTTCTTTGGTTTGAAACTATGTGCCTTCCTCTATCCCAATAACTCTTAGATTTGGTCTTTTGATGCTGTTCCATAATTCTTGGATGTTCTGTTCAAGGTTTCTAACTTTCTTCACTATATGATCAACTTTATTTTCCAGATTGTATATTTTGTCTTCATTATCTGATGTTCTTTATTTCAAGTGATCTAGTCTGTTGGTTATGCTTTCTACTGAGTTTTTTATTTGATTTATTGTATCCTTTATTTCAAGGATTTCTGGCTTTTTTTTTTTCGGGGTCACTATCTCTCTCTTGAAGTAATGTTTTGCTACCTATATTTGCTCTCATATTTCATTGTTGGAGTGATCAATTTTTGCTTGTATTTGCTCATATAAGTCATTCTTTAATTCACAGATCATTTTAATTATGAACCTTCTGAACTCCTTCTCTGACATTTCATCAACTTTGTTGTCCATAGGTTCTGTTATTATAGTGTCCTGATTTGTTTGGGGCACTTTCCTCTCTTGTTTTTTCATGTTGTCTATGTGTCTTCCTTTCTTGCAGTGTGGATCTGAGATATTACAGTTTCATCTCTATATTCTTGTAGTACCTTTGCAGATTATCTGTAACTCACCTTGATGTTTGGCTTCCAGACCCTGCTGGTGTCCCTCAATGGATGTTACTGCGTCCTGTGTCAGTTGGAGTGGGTGGATCTGGGCCACTGGGCTTGATCTCCCAAGGTAGGCTGCTGGTAGGAAGGGGTGGTCTTATTCCAAAGGCTAGACTCAGGCAGTGTCTGCCCTGCCGGGGGAGGGGTAAACCTGACTTAGTGAAATCCTGGATCCCACATGGGCTGTTGTGAGCCATCTAGAATGAATCTCAGCTTTGGGGTAGTGCACTGGTCAGAAGGGGTGGTCCTGCACCAGAGGCTAGGCTCTGGTGAGTGTCTACCCTGCCTAGAAAGGGGTGGACCCAGCCTGCAGGGCCCAGGGTGGGCCCTGCAGAGGATGGTGTGGGTGGATCTGGGCTGCTGGGCTTGACCTCCCAAAGTTGTCTGCTGGTAGGAAAGGATGGTCTTATGCCAAAGGCTAGGCTCTGGCAGTGTCTGTCTTGCTGGGGGAGGGGTGAACTGGGCCTACTGAAATCCTGGATCCCAAGTGGGCTGTCTGGGCTGGATCTCTCTGCTCTCGGGGTAGTACACTGGTCAGAAGGGGTGGTCCTGCCACTTCAGTATATCTTTAGTTATTATTATGAGTAATACTGTATTGAATGTACTTGCACAAATCTTTGTTTACATGTCTAAGATTTTTTTTTTTAAATCTCAGGTTATATATTTTTTCTTTGTGGTACTAAGGATTGAACCTAGGGACTCACACACACTAAGCAAGTCTCCATCTCTGTACATCCCTAGCCCTAGATCTCTAAAATAGAAATTACTACTCAAACAACTTCTTCTCACCATGCCCCCACACACATTCATTCTCCTCCTTCTCCTTCTTGGTAGTATTTTTTCTAAATTGCCCAGGCTGACCTGGAATTTGTGATACTCCTGCTTCAGCCTCTGGAACAGCTGGGATTACAGGCATAGGCTACCAGCCTTGAACACACAAGTCCTCCTTTCTCTGCCAACAATCTAAATTTATAGCCCTTCCTTTAAACTTTCCTTTGGCATTCCTTCCTTATGACCCTCTGGTGTTTTGTTCACACTTTGAATGTGGATCTCTTTATAATGTGCTACATTTTTTTAAAAAATTTACCTCTTTCTCAATTAGAAAATATGTGTCCTAAGCAGGACTGTGTTTTCCAATTCATCAAAGAATCAACACAACATCTGGCCTGGTTGATTGAGTTATTCATGTTTAGTAATTCAGAATATTCATAAATATAATCATTTTTCTTTACATTTATGTTTATGCTTTTCTCTCTAACAGGATTGTATTTCGGATTCAGTTGATAATTTTCAAAACACTGTGTTATCAGTTCCTAATCTCGTGCCTGATACGTATTTTGATGCTTTCACCAGCCCTTACATTAACAACAAACTTGAAGAAAAAACTTGTGGACCTGGGCCAAGTTTATCATCTGTGTTTGATGATGATAAGAATTATCACATAATTGTCTATCAAATAAAGGTAAATTTACTTTTACTAAAACTGTTTTATATTTTCAATTTTTAAGAAATTGAGTAATATATTTTCTTTCTGTCTCATCTTTAAATATTTTATTTGTGAAAATTGGAATAAATGTAATCTCTACATAGTAAAATTCGAAAATAATGTTGATACCTAAAATATTGCCCTGTTAAGCAAGAGATAACTTTTTAATAGCATTAAAATATCTGGCAAAGCAGTTACATATCATTAGCAATCTATATGCATGTGCTTCTAGTGAGGCAATAATGGCTATTGAGAATTCTTACAGACACAAGCAGAACCTGGATGACTTACCAGCTAATACAATATTTTTAATTGAAGTCATTTCCTATTAAATGTTTTGTGCTTTATAAAAGTATAATGTAATTATTTGAGACTCATTAGAAATGTAATAATATCTCTTGATAACTCTTCAAAAGCACTGTATCAAGTATACTTTGAACATAGCATTTCATATGCTAACATTTTTTTTTAAATTTTTTATTGTTGGCTGTTCAAAACATTACATAGTTCTTGATATATCATATTTCACAATTTGATTCAAGTGGGTTATGAGCTCCCATTTTTACCCCATATACAGATTGCAGAATCACATCAGTTACATATCCATTGATTTACATATTGCCATACTAGTGTCTGTTGTATTCTGCTGCCTTTCGTATCCTCTACTATCCCCCCTCCCCTCCCCTCCCCTCCCCACCCCTCCCCTCCCCTCTTCTCTCTCTGCTCCCTCTACTGACATTCGGGAAATGGATGGCATTAGAGCAGATTATGCTAAGTGAAGCTAGCCAATCCCTAAAAAACAAATGCCAAATGTCTTCTTTGATATAAGGAGAGTAACTAAGAACAGAGTAGGGTCCAAGAGCATGAGAAGAAGATTAACATTAAACAGGGATGAGAGGTGGGAGGGAAAGGGAGAGAGAAGGGAAAATGCATGGAAATGGAAGGAGACCCTCAGAGTTATACAAAAGTGCATACAAGAGGAAGTGAGGGGAAGGGAAAAATAATATAAGGGGGACAAACATATGCTAACATTTTCAGCTTAAATGTCCCAACTTTTAAAAACAAAAGCACATTTACAGAGAATATTGATGTGAGAAGGGAAAAAGCAGCACTATTCTTTGGTTTAATTGCCAAGATATCAGGAGGATTGCAAGTTCAAAGCCAGCCTCAGCAACTTAGTGAGATCATGTCTCAAAATAAAAAATAAAGAGCTAGGGAGGTAGCTCAGTGGGTTCAGTCACCCATGAAGAAGAAGGAGGAGGAAGAGGAGGAGCAGCAGCAGCCAGTTGCTCAGATATGGAATTAAGCAAGGTGCATTTCACCTGATTAATGAATTTTTAAAAATGTGGTATATATTCACATTGGAATACTCTGGCCAGATAATGAAATCCTATTCTTTACAAGAACACTGATGGAATTGGAGATCATTATGCTGAGTAAAATAAACCAGACACAGTAAGATAAGGACATGTGATCTCCCTCTAAAAAGATTGATCTCATAGAAGTTACTAGAGGTTGGGGAGAGCAGTGGGGAGGGAGGGCTAGGGAAAGATTGATCAATGGGTATAAGTTACAGTTAGATAGAAGGAAGAAGTACTGGTGTGCTATTGCAGTATAGGGTGACTACAGGTAACATTGATGTACTATGTATCTCCAAAAGCTAGAAGAAAGGATATTAAATGTTTTCACCATGAAGAAATGATACATATGGAGGAGGTTAACTATATCTCCTAACTTAATAGTTAACCTAACTTAATCTAAACATAACATGGTACCTCGTTAATAATGTCCAATTTTGTCTTTATGTTTTCAATTAATAATAAAAATGAAATGAATATGCAAAGTATGATGAGAAACAAGATATTTATATAAGTTCAGAGCTTCTCTTCATAGCATATTTAGTGATTTCAAAGGGGAAAGTAGTATGAGTTTACAATGATAAGCCTAGCAGATGCCTCTGTAACTAATCTGTTAACATTACAAATAATCACACAAACTCACATTATGTATCTTTTGATAGGATGCCCTGAAAACACACATAATTTTGTGATATTATAGCCAGAAATATATAGCTGAATCTAAACATTAGGAAACATAAAACACAAATGCATATAGACAATCTTAAAAAATGTAAAGGGCATGAAAAAAAAAATAAGATTGAGAAAGTCTTCCAGATTAAAGGAAACCAAAAAGCTATAATAAGATGGCATATGATATCCTACATAGAACAGTGGACTAGTACTATTTTTTCTTTCTTTTGTTATGAAAAATATAATGTGACAAATGACTGACTTGCATAATGTTTATAGTTGGATAATATAAATATCCATGTTCATTTTCTGATTTAGACCATTGTATTATGTTTATGCAAGAAAATATCCTTGCATTTGATAAATAAATTCTGAAATGATTAGGAGTAAAGATGCCACATTTGTAATTTTCTCCCAAATTGTTTATAGAGTAAAATAATAGATATAGAAAGAGAATAATGAAGGAAATGTGGCAAATTGCTGAAATTTCGGGAACTAGGGTAAGCAATGGAATTCTTTATACTGATCCAGTAACGTTTTTTCAGTAGAAATTATCTCAAAATTAAAAAAAAAAATTAAATCATTTTGAATATCAGTGGAGCTTTCCAACTATAGGCCTCATATTATGTTTTTGTCACCCATATATATGTTTATATCACACACATATCAGTCAGGTCAAAAGAGTAACAGTCTGACATTGATTTTTTAAAATTTTTATTGTAAAGGCACAAATATTCTATAAGATTACATAAGAGCCTAACAAAAAAAATAAATGAAACAAATAATTAATATAGACATTTAAGGTATTTACCATTTTTTGTAAGCTAAATTTTCTAGTACTTGCCCTCCATCTATAAAGCATGACTCTGAAACATTTTCCCTATCATTGGTATGTTGGGTTTGTGTAATTCCATTAATTGTCTTTAGTTTTCCATGAGAAAAAAAAATGTTCACTTGCAAGAAGTCTTGAAAGGAAATAAAAAGGTAAGTCTTGGGGTACAACAAGGAAGTCACATGTCAAGACCAACAACAAATTTAAACTGCCTTTTAAAGCATTAAACATGTGATAATATCTGTCAATATGGGTATTAAAGGGACTGAAATAAGTGCAAGTAATTATTTTGGGTTGGCAGGGATTGTGGGGAAATAAAGGTTGGAGCCAAATGTAAAAAGTGAAGGAAAATGTTTTATTAGGGCAATGTATGAAGGACATTTTGGAATGAAAGACTGGTCAGTTCAGAGAATCTGTCAGTAAGTATAACAAGTGATTTTGTAGGCATGCCAAATAGTTTTGCTTTTACTCAAAAATACATCCACTAAAACATAAAATTTGCAGCTTGGAAAATGAAAAGGCATTAACTCTTTGCCAGGTTTACTAATGATTTATTGTCTACCATGAAGCAGAAAAAAATGAAAAGTGTTCTTCTTTTCAATCATCAGGAATAATTCTTCAAAAGTCAAATTTAAAGAGTATTTTTAAAAAATGCATAAGTTTCTTCCTGAGTTCATTAACTTCCCCTTGACATCAAGGATGTGCCTTTTCTAATTCATGTATTCCCAAGTCAAAGCATATTTCTGGACACAGAGGCACTACTTGTGTGTGCATATATGTATGTGTCAATGCTAAATTGAATTCTGCTTAAGAAAAATATAGTGGTTTTATTTTCATCTGCTTGTTTATAACATTTAGGAAACTGTTCATGCAGCATTTGAATCTGCCTACTTATATGCAGCTACTTTTGAAAAGATCCATTTATTCTTTAAGGAAAATGAGAGTCTTGATTTGCAAGCTCTTAAACTTCAAGAACCTGGTAAGTCTTCCATTTGTCCATACTAATTATTTTTTATAGAAATACCAAGTAGGTGGTCTTGTAGTTATCTGTATGGGGGTATTTAGTGACAGAAAGAGTAGCCCTAAAAAGTGCCAACAAAAGTCAAGAATTTATTTATTTATAGATTATTTTCCATAGAATTACTTTCCCCCTTTATCTTTACTCAGTACTGCTATTTTATTTCAGGAAATTTGGGGGAGCAATTTCCTCCTAATGGCTTATAGTATGATGTTTTATTTGTCCTAAGGCTGTACAAACTGTATATGGGAATGAGTTGAAAATACTATATACATCTCTACAAGTTCTATTAAATGAAGCTTATATAACTTTTTTCTTTCTTAGGAATTGGGGTAATCTTTTTTTTCGGGGGGGGGGACCACATTGAGACCTGATGGGTGTGAATTAACAAGTCTTAGTCACGAAATTATACCAGGGGGAATTATTTTAGTAGACATATTATCTTTGAGAAAAGAAAATAATCTAGAATATTAGACTGAAATTTTAGGCAAGGAAATTTAGATAATTATAAAAATTAAGTACATATTATTTGTTATTGCTATTTAAAACATAAAGTACAGTCTTGTTTTATGAACTGGTTTTATTGCTTTCTTTTAATATGCAAAATAATCATTTTGATACTTTGCCTCATGAACCAGCATTAATTTTTCTATAAGTTTTATGTTTTTATTTCAATCCTTCATTATGTTTAAGTATTTTAAATTAGACTTTCCATCTCCAAGTTAAATAATTCAATATCCATCCTACAGAACCAAAATATTAGTATCACATACCATCCAAAAAAAACTTAACTGTTTAAAAAATTGCTAAACAATTGTTAAACTTGTTCCATATTCAAAATTTCCCAGGTAAACCAGATTATATCTGACTTGGCCCAAGATCTAGTACAAGACCAGGCGTTGTATCTGGTTGTTATGTCCCTTAAGTTTTAAAAATCTGCAACAGACATTTTTTTTTTCTATTTACTAACTTAATAAAGACCTTACTTTAGAAAAAAAAATTGATAAGTTTTCTTCCATTGTTCTTTGGAAACACTCTCAACTGAGACAGTGCATGTTGAACTGAAGTGAACTGACAGGGATACAGGACATCATGCCTTGTGTGCTGGGCCATCGCATCATGGGGTCAGCAAAGTAAAGAGCCTGACATTTCAGCACTACGTTAGTAGGCCTAATTCAAACAACTATTTAATCAATTAGTTCTTCTAAATTTTCAGAGACTGGAGAGTACAAGATTTTTTCTTAATTTTTATTTCTTCTTTTTAGTTTTATATGACAATAGAATGTATTTTAACATATTGTACGTGCATGGAGTATAATTTCCCCTTCTTGTGGTTGTACATGATGCAGAATTACACTGGTTGTGTATTAATGTATGAACATATTGAATTATGTCTGATTCATTCTACTGAAATTTCTATTCCTATTCCTCCTCTCTTCCCTTCATTCCCTTTTGACTAATTCAATGAATTTCTATTCTTCCTCCCTCTCCACCCATGTTTTGGTATTAGCAGCCGCATGTCAGAGAAAACATTCAGCCTTTGGTTTTTTGGGATGGCTTATTTCACTTAGCATGATAGTCTCCAGTTCCATCTATTTACTAGAAAATTCCATAATTTCATTCTTTTTATGGCTGAGTAGTATTCCATTCTGTATACATACCACATTTTTCTTTATCCATTCATCTATTGAAGGGCACCTAGGTTGGTTCCATAGTTTAGCTATTGTGAATTGAACTGCTATAAACATTGATGTGGCTGCATCACTATAGTATGCTGATTTTAAGTCGTTTGGGTATATGAAAGGAGTGGGATAACTGGGTCAAGTGGTGATTCCATTCCAAGTTTTTTGAGGAATCTCCATACTGCTTTCCAGAGTGGTTGCACCAGTTTGAAGTCCCACCATCAAATGGGACAGCAAAAACCATGTATGAAATGTATGAGTATACTTTTTTCCCCACATCCTTGCCAATCTTTTGTTACTTGTATTCTTGAATTACCATTCTGACTGGAGTGAGATGAAATCTCAATGTGGTTTTAATTTGCGCTTCTCTAATTGCTAGAGATGTTGAACATTTTTCATATATTTGTTAACCATTTGTATTTCTTTTTCTGTGAAGTGCCTGTTTAGTTCCTTTGCCCATTTTCTGATTAAGTTATTATTTTTTGGCGGTAAGGTTTTTGAGTTCTTTATATATTTTGGATATTAATGCTCTAAGATGCAGGTGGCGAAGATTTTCTCCCATTCTGTAGGCTCTGTCTTGATGCTTTGGATTGTTTCCTTTGCTGTGAAGAAGCTTTTGAGTTTGATACCAACCCATTTATTGATTCTTGTTTTTACTTCTTGTACTTTAGGAGTCTCATTGAGGAATTTAAGCCAACATGATGGAGATTGGGGCCTACTCTTTCTTCTAGTAAGCACAGGGTCTCTGGTCTAATGCCTAGATCCTTGAACCACTTTGAAGTGTTTTTTTTTGTGCAGGGTGAGAGATAGGGTTTTAATTTTATTTTGTTACACATGGATTTCCAATTTTCCCAGCACCATTTGTTTAAGAAGCTATCATTTCTCCAATGTATGTTTATAGCACCTTTGTCTAACATGAGATAACTGTTTTTATGTGTGTCTCCTCTGTTTTGTACCATTGGTCTTCATGTCTGTTTTGGTGGTAATACCATGGCATTTTTGTTACTATAGCTCTGTAGTATAGTTCAAGGACTGGTATTGTGATGCCTCAGCTTTGCCCTTCTTGCTAAGGATTGTTATGGCTATTCTGGTTTTCTTATTTTTCTGTATGAATTTCATGATTGCTTTTTCTAGTTCTATGAAGAATGTTATTGGAATTTTAATAGGTAATGCATTAAATATGTATAGCACTTTTGGTAGAATGGCCATTTTGACAATATTAAAATGCCTATGCAATAGCATGGGAGATCTTTCCATCTTTTGAGGTCTTCTTCAGCTTCTTTCTTTAGTCTCTCTTGTTTTCATTGTAGAGGTCTTTCACCTCTTTTGTTAGATTTATTCCCAAATATTTTTGAGGCTATTATGAATGGAATAGTTTTCCTAATTTCTCTTTCTGTTGATTCATTACTGATATATAGAAACATAATTGATTAATGTGTGTTAATTTTATATCCTGCTACTTTGCTGAATTCACTTATGAGTTCTAGAAGTTTTCTGGTGGAGGTTTTTAGGTCTTCTAAATATAGACTTATGTTGTCATAAAATTACGTTGTCATAAAATAATAATTTGAGTGATAATTTGAGTAGTTCTTTTCCTATTCTTATCCCTTTAATTTCTTTAATCTTTTTAATTGCTCTGGCTTAAGTTTCAAGGACTGTGTTGAATAGAAGTGGTGAAAGAGGGCATCCTTGTCTTGTTCCAGTTTTTAAAGGGAACACTTCCAATTTTTTTCCATTTAAAATGATATCAGGCTTGGGGTAAAATTTGTAGCTTTTATAGTGTTGAGGTACTTTCCTAATATTCCTAGTTTTTCTAGTGAATGGATGCTATATTTTGTCAAAAGCTTTTTCTGCCTCTACTGAGATAAACATGTGATTCTTGTCTTTAAGTGTATTGATGTGATGAATTACATTTATTGATTTCTATATATTGAACCCAACTTGATCATGGTACACTGACTTTCCAATATGTTTTCGTATGCAATTTGTCAGAATTTTATTGGGAATTTTTGTATCTATGTTCATAAGGGATATTGGTTTGAAGTTTTTTTTTTTTTTTTTTTTTTTCCTTGAAGTGCCTTTGTCTGGTTTTGGTATCAGGATGATACTAGCTTCATAGAATGAGTTTGAAAGGATTCCCTCATTTTCTATTTCTTGGAATAGTTTGAGGAGGATTTGAATTAATTCTTCTTCGAAGGTCTAGTAGAACCCAAATGAGAATCCATCTGATCCTGGGTTTTTCCTTGTTGGTAGGCTTTTGATAGTATCTTTAATTTCATTATTTGAAATTGATTTGTTTAAATTTGCTATGTCCTCCTGATTCAATTTGTGTAGTTCATATGTCTCTAGGAATTTGTTGGTGTCTTCAAGATTTTCTATTTAATTACAGTATAAATAATTTATTATTATTATCTGTATTTCAGTAGTCTCCATTGCAATATTTCCTTTTTCATCACCAATTTTAGTAATTTGAGATTTCTCTCTCTTTTTCTTCATTAGTTTGGTTAAGGGTTTATCAATTTCATTAAACAACCACCTTTTTTGTCAATTTTTTGGATTTTTTTTTTGTGTATGTATGTTTCAATTCCATTGATTTTAGCTCTGATTTTAATTATTTCTTGTCTTCTACTGCTTTTGCTTTTGATTTATTCTTATTTTATTAGGGCTTTGACATGTAATATTAGGTTATTTATTTGTTGACATTCTATGCTTTTAATGAATGAATTCAATAAAATGAATTATCCTCTTAGAACTGCCTTCATTGTGTCCCAGAGATTTTGATAAGTTGTATTGGTATTCTCATTTCCCTATAAGTATTTTTTTAATTTCATCCATGATTTCTTCTACTATGGATTGGGGTCATTCAGTAGAGTATTATTTAGTCGCCAGGTTTTAGAGTAGCTTCTATTTCATTATCATTGATTTCTATTTTCATTTCATTATGATCTGATAGAATGCAAGTATTATCTCCATTTGTTTTGTAGTTGCTAAGAATTGCTTTGTGGCACATAATATGGTCTATTTTAGAAAAGGATCTGTTGTGCTGCTGAGAAGAAAGTGTATTCAGTCATTGATGGATGGAATATTCTATATATGTCTGTTACATCTAAATTATTAATTGTAACTTTTAGTTCTACATCTTCTTTATTTAATTCTTGTTTAGATGATATAGCCTGTGGTGAGAGAGGTGTGTTAAAGTCCCCAGTAGTATTATGTTGTGGTCTATTTGCTTCTTGAAATTGAGAATTGCTTATTTGATATACGTAGAAGCTTCATTATTTAGGGCATAAATATTTATGATTGTTGTGTTGTATTGATGTATAATTCCCATAAGCAGTATGAAATCTCCTTCTTTGTCCCTTAACTTTGGCTTGAAGACTAGTTTATCTGATATTAGGATAGAAACCCCTGCTTGTTTATGAGATCCATGTGAATGATATGTTTTTCCCAGTCTGAATGTCCTTGCCTATCAGGTGAGTCTCTTGGAGACAGCATATTGTTGGGTCTTGTTTTTAATCCAATCTATTAGTCTGTGTCTTCAGATTGATGAGTTTAAGCCATTTACATTAAATGTTATATTGAGAAATGATTTTTATTCCCAGTCATTTTTATTTATTTATGGTTTTAAACTTTAATTAGTTTCTTCTTTGATTGACTAGTCATCTAGTGTAGTTCCCCCCTTTGGAGTCTACATTATTTTTTATTTATTTTTTATGAGATATTTTATTGAGTATTTTATAGTGAAGGCTTTCTAGTTGTGAATTCTTTTAACTTTTATTTGTCATGGAAGGTTATTATTTCATCCTCAATTCTGAAGCTTAATTTGGGTGGGTATAGTATTCTTGATTGGCATTTTCTTTCAGAGCTTGGTATATATTCTTCCAAGACCTCCCGGCTTTGAGGGTCTGGGTTGAGAAATCTGCTGAAATCTGGATTGGTTTCCCTCTAAATATGAAGTGTTTTTTTTTTTTTTCCTCTGGCAGCCTTTAAAATTGTATCCTTGTTCTGTGTGTCAGGCATTTTTATAATAATGTGCTTTGGAGTGGGTCTGTTATTATTTTGTGTATTTGGGGTCTTTCCTTTATCTGATTTTTCCATCTTGTTCTTTAGTTTTTGGAAAATTTTTAATATTATTTCACTGAAAAGATTGTGCATTCCTTTCGTTTGTATTTCCCAGCCTTCATCTATTCTGATAAATCTTAAATTTGGTCTTTTCAGGTTTTTCTATATTTCTTGGAAGTTTTGTTCATGGTCTCTTAACATCTATACTCTTTGCTCAACTTTATTAAGAAGATTGCCTGAAACTCTGTCTTCCAAGGGGGTCTAGTCTGTTGGTGATGCCCTCCATTAAATTTTTAACTTGTGGGGCTGGGGTTGTGGCTCAGTGGTAGTCACTTGCCTAGCATGCATAAGGCACTGAGTTTGATTCTCAGCATCACATACAAGTAAATAAAATAAAGGTCCATCAACAACTAAAAAAATTCTTTAAAAAATTAATTTGCTTTATTGATTCCTTCATTTAGAGGATTTCTGCTTGATTTTTTTTTTGAATTTTTTTCTGAATCTCTATCTCTTTATTGAAGTGATCTTTCACTTCCTATATTTTCTCTCCGATTTCACTGCTTAGATCATCCTTTACCTTGCAGATTAGTTTAACTACGTACATTCTAAACTCCTTCTCTAACATTTCTTCCACTCTAATGTAGATGAAGTCTATTATTGAAGTATCTTGGTTTGTTTGGTGCTTTTTCATAACGTTTGTGTGTCTACCCATCTAATAGTATGGCTCTGAGGCAGTGGAGATTCTACCCAGTGGACTTATAGTGTCCCGGAAGGTTTCTAGTACCTCACTGTTTAGGGGGAGACACATAATTACAACAACCAATGCAAACAGTATACAGCATTAAACCAAATCGTTTCTGCTATGACATCTATAGTTTTAATTGTCACAATAAACAGAAAAGATATAATCAATTGTTGCGTACAATAAAAAACAATAAGTTTGCAAAATGGTTTATAATTTGAATGGTGGATAGAGAGAGAACAGAAGCGATATATGATGTGATGATTATCAGGGAGGAGGAGAAAAGGTGTAAAAAATTAAAGGAATAGTGAAAGAGGAGACAATAGAGATTGGCTATTAGCAGAAGAAAAGAGAGAATGATAATCAAGGGAAACAAATAAGTAAGAGAAAAAAATATATATATATGGTAAAAAAATTAAAAATAAATAAAAATCAAAGAATACAAAACAAAACTGAAATATACTAATCAAACTCCCTAGTCTTCAAAAAATGGATCCATGAATAATAACTGGTTTCAAAAATGCTAGAAATGAGGAAAAACAGCAAATATGAATATGTATAATGTCCAAGAATCCATTAAGGTGTAGTTAAACAGAGAAAAGGAAAAAGGAAAAAAAATCAATGAAGGGTTAAAGAATTATTTCCATTGTAATTCAAAAGATTCTCAGCTTCCCTTCTCCAAAGGGTTAGGTGGGCTCCTCTGGAGTATGGTGCTAGCTCTACCCTCAGGGTGGGGTTGCTGAGTTTGATTTTCTCCTGGTCACTTGGGCACATTCTGTTATGCAGTGTGAATTTTCCAGGCACATATTTTAGGCTAATCTTGGGATTGCCAGTAATTGGCTCTCTAGCTGTCAGCTCCTGTGCTACCGTTGCAAAATGATTCTTTCCTCTGTCTTCCACACACACCTGGGAGAAATGCAGATTCTTCCTCACACAAGGATATTGTGCAGCATATCTTTCAGTTTAATCAGGCAGTGTCTTTAATCTCTAAATTCTCCATACCCAGACACACCTAAGGCCTCCTAAAAATGTGCATTCCTTGATTCCCTCATTCTTCTACTTTGCTTGCAGAGGGACTGCTTTGGCTGGTGTACATTCTAATCACAGCTATAGCAGTGATTATGGCACTGGAAATTTCTTCCTTATTTTATTATATCCAACCCCTTGAGTCCCCAGTCTGCTTTTAATGATCATTATTAAATTCCAGTAAAGTCCCTTCCCTTTTAAATTTTTATTTATTTATTTATTTTTTATTTAATGACCTTGTGGAGAAGCTGCCTATCTGCTTTCTTGGTTTCATGCCACAGAGCCACCAGAAAAGAGACTTTCCTCTTTTCCACCATCTTGAAAACCCCCATGATTTTAAAAGACAAGTGTCAGAGTTTGGAATTGTATATGCATTAGAAGGAGTTGGTTTTTTAATAATGACATGACAAAAATGTATTCAAATATAATCAGGCTTCGATTGGTTCCAGGTGAACTGGAGAAAGAAAAAAAAAAGGAGACTGGAAGATTGTCCAAATGCAACTGCAATTTATGACAGATGCAAGTTGTCAAATGCCTTATCATGTAAAGAGTAGGAATGGCAGAGAAGTGTTAGGAAGATGAATGGAGATAACTTAAACTATATTATATTTGAGATCATTTGTTTTGAAATTTTGTTGTGAATATCCTCCAAAATGCTTTCCTTTCAGATATCATGTGAGAGAACCCTTAGATTAACCCCAACTTCAAACCAACCTATCTCTAGAATCTAGTCCACTCCAGAATCACTGCAATGAGTCATAATGAATAATAATTCATCAAGTCACATTGTTTTTGTTTTCCAGTGCATATAAAAGATACAAAAGTTATGTTTACACTATAGTCTATTAAGTGTGCAATAGCATTATGTCTAAAAGCAATGTATAAATCTTAATTTAAAAATACTTTGTAACTAAAAGAGTGCTAACAATCATCTGAACTATTGAAAAAATGGCACCAATAGACTTGCTTGATGCAGGTTGCTACAGAACTTTAATTTGTTAAAAATTAATTATCTGTGAAGTGCAATAAAGTGAAGCACAATGAAACAAGGTATGTAATGAAGAAGTTATTCTCATCTGTTCTTTCTTAATAGAAACTGGAAAACACGTTTATATTGTAAAATATTGGACTTTTTATTATATTAATAAAATATCAAACATTCTGAGCTAACAGTTAGATAATGTACTCTAAGTATAGATAATAACATTATAAATGCATGTATATTCAATTATTTTAATATATTTTATAATGACCCTTTAAAATCCAATATGATATATTTTATGATTTATGTGAATTGTTTTATGTAGATGTTAAGTACTTTAGTGACCAACTGGAAAAATATCACAAACAACACAAGGATGCACTGGCTCTAAAACCCACCAGAAATGTAGGATTGCTGCTCATAGACACCAAGCTGCTAAAAGAAAAATTAATTCCATCACCTTTGCGATGTTTGGAGGTAACTATGAACTAGGAAAAATTTTAATTATGGTGTCTACAATCATTTCTTGGTTTCAACAACAAAAGTAAAACAATTTTCTTGTATTGTAAAGATAGAAATGAATAGAAGACTACTTGTCATCCTTAATTTCTAAGAAAAATTTCATGTTTTTTCTATCACAAGCATAATCTGCTTATAGATTTAATAGAGAAGAGATCTGCAAATGTCAGACTAACCTCTTACTCCTATTTCTTTTTCTTTTGTGGGAATGTTTCAAGACTTCCAGGTAAGAGATACTACTGTTACATTTCACTGTCCTAGTAGCAATGCTGGTTGATTCTATGATATTGAGATCTAGTTTAAAGAATTATTTCCTTATTTGGAATATAGAATAATTCATACAAACATGACAATAAATTACTTTGGAGCCAGCATGTATCTGTATGTTCTCAAATGTCTCCAGGGAGACAAAGCTATAGAATAGAAATTGGAGAAATAAAAGGTCAATACAGTCTGCCTCTTGCTTTATACACAAGATTATCAAAATGCAACTACAATCATATGCCAGATGGAGACTGACAAATGCCTTAACCATTATGTAAGGAGCAGGAATGGCAAAGAAATGTGGGGAAGAAGAATGGAGCTCTTGAGTTTCAAAATATTGTTGTCATTCTCAAAATGAGTGGAAGACAGTTGAGACACATTGTCTATGGCTGCTTTCCTGCTGTTAAGGGCAGAGTTGAATGGTTGCAACAGAGTTTGTATGTCTTGCAAATCCGAGATATTTACTATATGACCCTATGGAATATCCTTGCTGACTCTTTATGTAGGTAACAGAAGATAGAGCATTGGCTAAAATGCTGTGGACCTAAGTGCCAGTATGTTCTGTCATTAATTAGTTGTATGATATTGAATTTACTCCTAGGTCTTTACTTCTTCATCTGTTAAAAAAGAAAATGACTATACATATAATTAGAGAAAACTCAACTTTCACAAACATTTTTGAGCACTCGTATATATCAAACGAAGAAAATCAAACTCAAACTGTCTTAAGCAATCAGAAAATGTATGGGTTTATGCAATCAAACATTCCAGGGATTAGGTAGACAATCAGGAGGTTTCATCTAATGGTCTGATATTACCATGGACCAAATTTCTTTCATTTTCCTTTCTGGGCTCTCAATGTATCATCTTCATACTAAGGTGAGCATTTTTTTTTCAAATATTTGTTAAATGGTTGTTGAAAGCTCCTCAGGCCAATTATTTCCTTGTTTGTATACAAAAAGAAAGTAGAGATTTGGCTTCTGTGTACACATTCCTCTCAGCCGTGAACAAAAGTCCCAGGATCAGTTAAGGGAAGACATCCATCCTAATCCAATCAGCATGCTCCTGTTTGCCTAGAACACTCAGACCCTCTCTTTGTTCCTGAAGTAGAGATCAGTTTCTCCCAGACCATATAGCTACCACCCAACATGAAAGGAAAGAGAATAACGCTGGAGAGGGCAGCACAGAGCACACTACATAGAGCAAAGAAGCAGAAAGTACACTTGCAAGATTTGAGAGAATCTAGGGAAACTGTTTAGTAAGCTGTGCAGCCTAGTTTGTCTAAAAATGATCTATAAAATCTGATCTTTTTGATTCATTTGACTAGCAATGATTTAATGAGAAAAAATATTCCCTTCATATGTATTGCTATTTCCAAAACTCGACGATTTAGCAGATGTCCACTTAGGACTTATTTAAAATATATAACAAAGTAGAAATATTCATGTATTTATGATTCACATTTTCTTTCTCTTCTTAGGTGCTGAATTTTATGCTTCCTCGTTTAAGCAAGAAAAAAGTGGATGCCATTATCTCTGAGGCCCAAGATGCAGAGTATAAACTTGAATTTGTTCCAAGCACTACCATAGAATATGTTAACAGTTTAGTATTTCTTGATGAAATTCAGGAACGGGTGAGTTTATTATCTTACATAACTTAATATTCCTGTTCTTAAGTTAGGAAAACAGTATGTGTGATAAGAAAACTTGAGGGACTATGAGTCAGAACCACTGTCAAAATATCAGAAATACTTTCAAAGTAAAGGCACCCTACATTACAGCATTAATGCCCCTTACATTTATCAAACTCTTACTCCTAGTCAGGAATTTTGTTAATTTTTTTACATGTGCTAAATTTTTAATCCTCACAAAAACTTGAGAAGTATGAATAATTTTATCCTGATTCTACTGATGAGGAAACAGGGACTAAAATAGGTTATGCTGTCCAAAATCACAGAACTTGTATGTGATAAAGCTGGAATTTTGACCACAAAACCAAAATTCTCAACCATGCTTTATTGCAATTCTAATTTTTGATAAATGGTAATAGAATGGTAACCAGATATTAGTCACAACAGAAGTCTTAATCCTTAATACCTAGCTGCATAATAGTCAGTAACCTTTCTATTAATAATGGACAAAGTTACAAACTCTGAACAACTTAAGTGGGAAGGTGGGAGCAGGGAGTAAAATGTATATATGGATACTGAAGTAATGCAAATGAAAGGGTCAGGCTCTCTCTCTCTCTCTCTCTCTCTCTCTCTCTCTCTCTCTGTCTCTCTCTCTCTCTCTCACACACACACACACACCCTCACTCAAATCTTTTTGTCTGCCTTGCTTCTTTCTCCTACAGACTTGATTTACTTCTGTCAGTCTGTGGCAGGCAATCCAGCTTTTGACTTTAATAGTTGGTTTTTCAAAACTTTCATTCATAGCAGTTTGGCATTGAAATAGAAATAAATTACTTTCTTAAATGCCTGAAAATTGAAGAAGTATTATGAATAAATAATATAAACTGAATAAGTCATTAACAACTGGGCAGTTTGTAATGTATTATTAACAAAATTAACAGTAAAGTCTTTTTCTCATGCCTACAAAAGTAACAATCTTGTGTATCATTTTAAGAATAGCATTTCTCCAAGGGACAGATAATTTTTTATTTTCCCCAGATGTGCTTTTACATCATCCCACGAGTCTACAGATGGCAAGCATTTATAATTATTTTTATTTATTAAGCTTTTTGGACAAATAAACAAAACCCAGGTAATTTCTCTTAAGCCAAAACAGGGCTCTCATTTAAGAATTCAAATTTGTTTCATGGATCCCTTTCCTCTTCAAGAGCGTAATTAGATTTAGGAACTGATTAGAATCAGTACAGGTCAGCTTTAGGAATCCTAGTTAGTCTTCACTCTCCATCTCTTCTCTCTGCATTTCTCTTCTTCTCTATATCTCTTTGAAGGTCTGCTTCACTTCTCTTCCAATACAATCAGGCTGCTACTTCATCCTGTAGTAGCAAACATGGCCACCAGCAGCTCCCAAGTGACAGGTTGCAAGTCTAACAGCCACAAAAGAAGATAATTTATCCTTCCAATAGTGATTCTACTATCTAGTAAATGGATTTAGCCCCCATCCCGCTCCAATTTTATCAACTATGTTAGGGGAGGGTAAGATCATATCATAATCAAAGGCTTAGTGTGTTTCTAGAATAGGAAGTTGCTGTGTACAGAAAACAAGACTGTCCCATCTCCAGGAATTTATTCATGGTTTCTGGGTAGTATGTTTGGGAAGTAGCTTCCCTTAAGGAGATGCTCTTCATACACAGATAGCTTTTTTTGTAACTTCATTCATTCAGTCAGCAAATTTAGAGAACACTTACTTAGCAGAATACAAAGATTACAACAATAACTAAACCTGTTTTCAAGGAGATCAGAGTCTAGAATGAAAGTAGACAATTATGATACAATTAGTAGAGGTACAAGAAACAGTTGTAAGGACCAGGACTTTTTTAATCACTCTTGTCTATGGGTCACAGAAGACTTTGTGGAGGACAGCGTATTTAAGGTATGTGCTAAAATACACCAAACATTTAGCTAGGCATTTCAAGGAGAGAGAAAAAAAACAATAACAAAGACATGAGGCAAGATGACAAAAACAGGATTTGGGAACTGGGGAAGTGCTATGTAAACTGTGTGTTGCTAAAGCAGGAGAGAAGAAATGAATTCTAGAGAGGTTAAGTATAAGTGAAAGGACAACTGAATAAGAGGACAAGCAAAGAGTCTGAGATGACTCCTAGGTATCTTTCTATAGTTGATGGGCTGATAGTAGTATCATACCAGTACAGGCAGGTTAGGCTGCATAATACATTTCTGAGAGTAAAAGAGACACCATAAAGTATTATACCAGGACAATAAATATAAACCAAGACACTCCCAGGAAACCTGGATATATGCTTATCCAAAGTATAAGAAATACAGGATGATTAACAGATCTTGGTGTAGAGAGATTTCTATTTATAACTTGTTTGAGATATTAGCCATTTTGTTGAAAGCAATCAAAACTAATATAGATAGCTTAGAAAGTGGGAATGTTTAATCTAAGTTTGCTTGGAAATCTTTTGGAATACAAAGGAATGAATAGAGAGAGGCCTTTAAAAGGATAAGAACTAGAGTATAGAATAGCATAAGGAAACAGAAAAGGCCTCTCCTCCTTCTCTCATCTCTGTTCCTCTCTAGAACAGTGGTTCTCAAAGGTGATCTTTAAACTAGCAGCATTATTAGGACCTGGGAATTTGGTAGAAATACACATCTTGGACCCTACCCTAGATTTTCTGAATCAGAAATTCCAAAAGAGCTCGGCAATCTGTTTATTTTAATAAACTTTCCAAAGTCATTTCTGCCTAAGTTACAGGTTGAGAACTATTTCTCTAAAAGGCTCTCTGCAGTTATCTTCTTATGTTTTTTTTTTTTTTAATTTTTATTGTTGGTTGTTCAAAACATTACATAGTTCTTGATATATCATATTTCACACTTTGATTCAAGTGGGTTATGAACTCCCATTTTTACCCCGTATACAGATTGCAGAATCACATCAGTTACACATCCATTGATTTACATATTGCCATACTAGTGTCTGTTGTATTCTGCTGCCTTCTGCTTCCACCTGAAAGCATATGGCCTCTACCCACAACTATGCTGCTTAGTTCAGCTTATGGCTAGAGACTGAGTCAAATAATATGAACATGGCAGCTTCCTGCCTAACAAGGAAAACTTGGGGGCTGGGGCAATTGGAGGATTTCTCCCAAACTGGAGAATTTAGATAACATTGTGTTCTTTCTTGCCAGAAATTTAAGAGAAACAGGAAGTTTTTGCCCATAGAAGGTAGGACATCAAAATGAAGATGTTAAGTATCACTTGGATATAACAAAATAATTTAAACAATAGTGAACCTAGATCATGTTCTGAACTTATGCAGCCAGGAACAAAGACTGTCCTTACCACAGGGGCTGTTCTGGGACTAATCACTGCTCAGCATACATGCCTGAAAACTAAGACATTAAAGCTGAACATCCCCACAGAATATATTTTCTTGAAAGACATTAAATATTAGCACTGCTTAATGCTGCTAAAGAAAAATGAAGAGAGGGGCAGAGGGAGAAAGAGAGAGAAATAACATTTCTATGTGCATTACTAACTTCTCAGCTCTGACCACTTACCTCCTGGGCCTGGTTTACCTGTGTTCCATAAATGACTGTATTTATCACCCAGCCAACTTCAGCCAATTTGATTGTAGTGTTAAAAACACAACTCCTCCTGTGCTGACCATTCACAGCTTGATGTTTATATTGCACAGTGGTTGTCTCCTATTAAAAAAACTTGAAGGGTAAAATAGAACTCTACTATTAATGAATAACCAATGTTTCCATTTAGATTGAAAGCCTGGAAGATGAAGGGAATGTAGTGGTTCAAATGTACAAGCTTATTGAACAGTATCAGATAGCTACACCTCCTGAAGACTTTGCTGTTTTTGCAACTATGAAGCCATCCATTATTGCTGTTCGGAATGCCATTGATAGAGCAGTGGGTGACAGAGAAACAAGCATTAAACAATTTTCTCTGCATTTGGGTAGAGATCTTGAAGATCTAAATGAAGAAGTGAATGAAATAAAGCTGCAAGCACAGGTAAGATAAAGAAGGATTTTTTTAATCTGAGAAAAGTTTGATTATTATAGTTTTTTTAAATTAAAATATAACTGAAAAATTGTATATATTTATAGTGTCTTACATGACATTTTGATACATGTACATAGTGTGAAATATATTAAATATATTAAGCTTATTAACCTGCCTATCACTTTATACATTTATTTTTTGTGGTAAGAACATTTAAAATCTACGCTTCAAACCATTTTGGAAATATACTTCACTTTACTTGATTTAAAATTTGTTTTTATTAACTGTCAACAATATCTTTGAGCTGCTATTTAAAGTGTTTCTGAACCTCTGTTTTTATATACTGAATAAATTCCAGACTATCACAAGAAAAGTCTATATGTAATATTGAATTTTCTAATCTTCCTAGCATTATTATTATTATTTTAAAGAGAAAGAGAGAGAGAGAGAGAATTTTTTTAATATTTATTTTTTAGTTTTCAGCAGACACAACATCTTTGTTTGTATGTGGTGCTAAGGATGGAACCCGGGCCGCAAGCATGCCAGGCGAGCCACATCCCCAGCCCGCATTATTATTTTTAAATGAGTGTTTTTATTACTTCTTCAAATATTTATAACTGTTTTCACAGTTTTAAAATTTGCTTAGCATATTAAATTAAATTAAATTAAATGATATCAAAGATTATTTGGTTAAATTGTATCAATTTTACTATAGAAAAGATTCAGAATTTAGAATAGATATCTAGATGACTCTTAACTAAAGTCTTCCTGAAAATAATCATTTTGTAATGATTTATTATTTTATTATTAGCACTGGCTAAATCTTACCACAGAATTATAAAACCATGTAAAGTTACAATAACAGTTTAAAAAATGGAAAACTCAATGTCCATCAACAGATGATTAATAAAGTACAAAAGAGATTAGTAAAATACATGAAGGTAATTCACTCGGAAATAAAATACAGATATTAAAGATTATAATATACACTTATACACATTGACATAGAAATAGTAAAGGCAGATAACATTGTGTTTTTCCTATTTATCAAGCTCTGTTTTAAGAACTTAACATTGTTTTTGGTTTTGTGTTGAAGAATATTTGTATTTTCTCAGATGAAAGTGTATATCAATGTAATAACTGTATACTTTAATGAATTATCAGAAAGTGAACACATCATGTATCTGCATCTCAGAATGTCAAGCACTATAGTCTTACTGTTACCTTTAATGCGCTCTCTCTCCTATTCATTAATTCTTTGTTCTATTCCAGAGGCAGATACTACCCTGAATTCTAATGTCATAAATAAGTTTTGCCTATTTCTGAACTTATGATTAACTAGAATCATACAGTATTTCTTTTACTTTATTTTTGGTATCTACCTGAGCTTTCTATTAGCATTAGATTTTTTTTTCCAATCACATTTCAATACAGTTGTCCATGCTTCAATCATGCTTATGCAATAAAATCTCCGTAAAATCCTGAAAGTACAGGTTTGCAGAGCTTCCAGATAGCTAAACATCTGAAGGTCCTGGAGGGTGATAACCTAGGGAGGACATGGAAGTTCCTTGTACCTTCTTCCATACCTCACCCTATGAATTTCTTCATCTGTATGCATTGTAAAAAAAAACTTATAATAAACTGGTAAACCCAATCAGGTATGTCCTTAAGTTTTGTGAACGAGTCTTGTAAACTAATCCAACCTAGGGAGGGAATCATGGGAACACCAATTTATAGCCAAAAGCACATGTCAAAAAACCTGGGGGTTGCAATTGGCATCTGAAGAGGGGAAATTATGGAGACTTAGCCCTCAACCTGTGGGCTAACTCCGGAGTTGAATTGGAGGATACTTAGCTGGGGTCTGATACAGACTTGATTGGTCACTTTGGTGTGTAGGTAATCCCACCCCACGCCCCTGAAACACACATATCTTGTTTCAGAAAAAAATGTTGGGAGAGTACAATAGGAATAACTGAGTTTGTTTTTCCTTACTGTCCTCAGACTCTTCGGAATTCAAAGGGCTTTCCTTTTATTTATTGTACACTGGGAATTTTTCTTATGTCCTTTTTTCTTCTCTTTTTTGTTACGTTCACCTCTCCTTTTTTGAAGTTATATTGGGTAAAGAAATATAGGAAATAAAAGCAGATGATGAAGAATACATTAGGTAACCATGTCAACATTTTACAATATATATGCTTTCCCTTAATATTCAGGAAAAGCATTTGTCTTTAACATGGTTTCTGACACTCAGAAAAAAGAATTAAGAAAAAATTTCTAATCATTATTAATCTTTTTAAATCATATTTAGTCTTTATTAATTAATTTAATTTAATTGTTCTGCCTCAAAAAATAGTCATTACTAACCAAAATTTATCTTAATTTTATAGGATCCACAGATTTTGGATATTAACACTGATCAAGAAAAAATAAAGAATATTTTAAGTGATCTACAAAGTGTTCTAGATGATCTTCAAAAACGTGCCTTTCAATATAAATCCTACCAGAAGAATTTCAAGGTAATGACAATTCTGTATATCTGTTTCTAAAATGTGTGCATAGAAATAGTACACGTAACAATGTGATCATAAACACTTTGTGTTTGGTCAACTATGTGTTAGTTGTTATGCTACAGTGTCAATTACAAAATTTGATATGTTTCTGCCTTTTAAATATATATATATATATATATATATATATATATATATATATATATATATCTCCCCAATAGATAATATATCTTTGTTATTAAAAAGTGATTGTAAATTATAGAAAATTATCAGATAAATGTATATGGACTTTTACATTTGGTTTATTAAAGACCTTCTATCCTTTCTTAAGATTTAAACTTCTTTTACACTCATATGTGTGTTATGATTCCATTAATATTGCCTGATTTGGCTTGCACTGATGTTCTAATTTAATGAAAGAAGAGATCCTCACCTAAACCAGGCCTGAAAGTGTGGATTTAAAAAGCTGAAAAAAATGTGTCTTTAAAAAATATGAAGACAAAAGAAAAAGAGATACAGGTGCTTCTAGCAATTTTTAGAAAGACTACCAGGAAAAGAGAACAGTCATAAATATGCTTAAAAATTACAGGAAGATGGTGCATGAAAAGTGAGTAGTTCAATATAGAGATGGGGAAAATGTGTATTTTTAAAAAAAAACAAAATTTATGGAAGTGAAGAATACAGTAAATGAACTGAATAATTTACTAGAAAATTTTAAAAGCAAACCTGATCAAGCAAAGAAAGAATTAGTGAACTCAAAGACAGATCACTCGAAATTATCCAAAGGAAAAAAAATTTAAAAAGTGAAGATGGCTTAAAGGGCTTATAGGAGATAATTAAGCAGACCAATTTTCACTTTATGAGAATCCAAAAAGGAGGAGAGAGAAAAAAATAAGATAGAAAGTTTATTTTATAAAATAATGGCCGATAATTTCCCAAATGTAGAGTAGAAAATCACTATTGAGACTAAAGCCCAAAAACTTTTCAAAAAGGATGAACCCAAAGAGGTCCACACTAATAATGACATACATCATAATTAAAGTATCAGTGGACAAAGAGAGACTTTTGGAAACACCAAGAGAAATGTGACTTAAAATATGCAAGGGATTTCAATAAGACTGTCAGTTGATTTCTCAGCAAAAACCTTGCAAGCCAGAAAGGAATAAGATGATATATTCAAAGCTCTGAATGAAAAATCAGTTACCAACCACTATTACTATATCTGGCAAAACTACCCTTCAAAAATTAAGAAGAAATAAATACCTTCCCAGATAAACAAAAGCTGAGGAAGCTCATAATCACTAAGCATACTTTATAAGAAATTCTAAAGGGAGTCCTTCAATTTGTGACAAAAGAATGCTAAACAGCAACATAATAAATTCCTAGAAGACAGGGAAATCTCATGACACTGTTCTTGGCTATGGTTTCTTGGATATGACACCAAAAGTCAAGACAACAAAAACAGAAACAGACAAATGGAACTAAATCAAACTCAAAAGCTTCTGTACTGCCAATGAAACCATAGATAGGGTTGAAAAGTCAACCTACAAGATAGGGGAAAATGTCTTTTAAGCCACATATTTGATAAGGAGTTATCAAAACATATGAGAAATTTCTACAGTTCAACATCAAGCAGCAAATAATGTGATATTTAAATGGGCAAAGGGATTGAATAGACTTTTCTCCAAAGAAGATATAGGAATGGCCAATGGCTAGTTGTAAAGATACTCAGCATCACTAATCGGCCAAAACAATGAATAAAAACCAAATCAAGGTATTGCTTCTTACCTATTAGCATGACCATTATAAATATAAAATAAATAGCAAGTATTGGTGAGGACATGGAGAAATTGGAACCTTCTATACTGTTATTTGGGGATGAAAAATGAAATCACTATGAAAAACAGTATGGTAGATTCTCAAAAAATTGAAAACAGAACTAAAATATGACCTCTCAATCCAAATTCTAGGCATATATTCATATAGATTATGAATCCTGATTTACATCCAAGATTTTGAAGAAATATTTGCACTCCCAAGTTCATTGCAACATGATTATGATTATGATTATGATTATGATTGGTAGTAGGGATTGAACTCAGGGGCACTCAATCACTGAGCCACATCCCCAACCCTATTTTGTATTTTTTATAAGAGACAGGGTCTCAATGAGTTGCTTAGTGCCTTGCTTTTGCTGAGGCTGGCTTTGAGTTCACAATCTTCCTGTCTCAGCATCCTGAGCTGTAATACCTTATGGTATTATAAGTGTGTGTCACTGCACCCGGCCATTGCAACATTACTAACAATGGTCAAGATGTAGAAACAACCTCAATGTCCATCAATTGATAAAAGGATACAGAAAATGTGGCATATGCATTCAACAGAATATTATTCAGTCTTTAAAAAGAAGGAAATTATGTTATATTCAACATAAATGAGCCTGGAGAACATTATGCTATGTGAAATAAGCCAGTTACAGAAGGCAAACACTGCATGATTCCACTTACATGAAATATCTAATATAGTCATACTGTAAATGCAGAAAGTAGAATGGTGGTTGCCAGGGACTTGAGGTGAAGGAAAATGAGCACACAGTTTCTGTTATGCAAAATGAAAAAGCATTAGAGATTTCCTGTATAACATTGTTAATATTGTTATAGTTAACAACCCTGTACACTTAAAAATTTGTTAAAAAGCTAGATCTTATTATGTATTTTTACCACAATAAAAAGAAAAACATAAGTTTAAAAGTATTTAAAAAAACAGCCTGAAATAGAAGTATATCCCTCTTTGTACATGCTTCATCTACACTTGGATGATTCTGCCTTCATGAATGTCTCTGACCCAACCTTTCTGCAGCTCTTAACCATTTGAAGAATAGGAATGAAAACCTAAATGATCTTGGTTGCAGGAAATTATTTCCAGCTCTTAATGAAAAACTGGCTCCAGTTCACCACAAAGCCCAACAATTTCCGTGCAACCAACTCCCTGTAGGTTTCCCACTTCCAAGCCAAGACAATCTTAAAACCCCTCATTAAAATACTTTCTTCAGATTTTCTTGAATTCTTCTTTTTTTGTACGTGTATATGCAGTTCATGGGGGTTTAACAAAGTGAAAAACAGGTTGTCCTATCTATCTTAAACTTCACTATCCTGCCCATCGCCAGCTACCACACAATCATCTATCATCCAAATACAGAAGCCATGAAGGAAATCAATACCTCTGAATACTCATCTGTTTTTCAAAAAAGAAAGGCATGTACATGTGTGTCTGGTCCAAATAAAAAAATGCATGCACATGGGGGTCTTATAGTATTTATGTCTTTGGAGAAAAATATATTTAAGTTTTAAAAAATATTAAGAGTTATAGTTTGTTACTCAAATGAAAAATATAATATGTGTGGGATTTCATGGTATTCTAAATTTTCATGTGTTTCTGTCTTTCCTTTTATTTCCCCATTTAGGATCTATCTTGTGCTAAGAAGTCACTGTATTAAGTATTAGTAATAGAAAGATAGTATAAGGTATTAATATCTGAAAATAAGTAATTCACTTTATTTGTTATGCTTTTAAAGGTAGAAGTGTCCAAGTTTGAAGCTTTGGAAGAAGTTAGCGCTGAACTGAAGCTCAAACAATTGCTTTGGGAGTCTTACTCTGAATGGGATAAACTCCAACAAGAATGGTTAAAGGTAAGTAAAAAGCTCTCATTTCTTAAGTTTTTATTAAATTAAACTTAAAACCCTAATAACATCGGTTATCATTTATAGCAACCTGGTATATTCTTATTAACATTAAAAATTCAAGGTTATAATTTTTCAGGAATTTTTGTTGGTTTTCCAGTAAAGTACAAGAGGTCTTTTTGTCACTAAATGACAAAAAGTATTTTGGCAGGGTTCTTGGGTCGTCCATTTAAGGAGGATAAATGATGAAGGCACCAAAGGACCACATTGCATGATACCTAACTTCTTTGTGCTTTCAAAACATGTTGTTATCATGATATACTCCAGTGATCTTGAGGACTGTAGGATTTTTATTATCTACATGCTTTAGGTTTCTGTTTTCTAAAAGTTATATTCTTATTATTCTTTTAAAAAAGAAACTGTTTTGTTCAGTGTGATAGAAGATTAGAAAAAGAAGATCTAGAATCCTCTCTAGAGAGTTCAGTAGTTCTCTCTCTCTCTCTCTCTCTCTCTCTCTCTCTCTGTGTGTGTGTGTGTGTGTGTGTGTGTGTGTGTTGGGAATCAAACCCAGGGCCTTGTGCATGCAAAGCAAGCACTCTACCAACTGAGCTATATCCCCAGCACCTGATCAGGGAGCCAAGTACCAATATCCATAATAGTTTCTAGGATGTCCTTATATTCAAACCTTGATAAGGGTCAACCATCTAGGAGGCAGAATATGGCCACTGATACTTTCATATGTGATATAGACATGTTGGAAATACCATCAACTTCAAAAGTCATGTTTTATACTTCATATTCATCCTACCTGTGCTGAGCCTATACTTAGAAGCCACATGTCTGGGTCAAAAAACAGTGACATAAGAAACATTTCTCAAGTCATGTTCTAGCTGTGGGTAATAACAGTGGAGAATAAGAAGGACAGAGTCTAAGCCCTCATAGAACTTACCTTTTTGTGGAAGGAAGAAAAAAAAGCGAAATATATGGTCTAATATCAGGGAGTTTTAGTTATTCTCCTATAATTTATCTGTCACTTATCTCAGAAGTAAAAAAAATTCTTCTGAGAAGTAAGGAAGAAGCTTAGAGAATTTTATGATTTCCATGATATTTTACAGCACTCACCTTAGAAAATGCACAAGAAAATTCTTTAAGGAACAGAAGGAAAATGCTGAATCTAGGGGGAAAAAAGAAAATGGAAGATTTACAAATTTTCTATTGCCCTTAATCCATAAGATTGTCTGATATCAAAGTGTGTACACTTATATGCTAATATAACACATACTATTATAGATGTATGCATATAGTAGAAGTACACCTTTAAAATATTTGCATTACATGCATTATTTGAAACTTCTGATTAAAAGAGTAAAAATAGTTATTTTTTTCTTTAGAAGACTCTACAAGTATTAAGCCTCAGTAATAAATTCCAGGGATTATAATGCATTTAATGATGAGACAAATATATGAATAAATAGTTGATGTCTGATATATTATTAGCAATTTTGACAAGTAAAGCCTTTTGAAAAATACAGAGAGAGTTGATTCAGATTAGCAATATAAGTGCTAGAAAACATAACTGTAAAGTAAAATACTTTTTGCTACTTCAAGCTTGACTGTTATCATATTTTAACTTAGATTTTTCTTTTTCTAATTTGTATAGTCCAAATTTGACTCCCTGGATCCAGAATTCCTAAACAGTCAGGTTTCTAAATATGCCAAAATTGTGAATCAATTGGAAAAAGGCTTGCCACCCAACAATGTAGTACCCCAGATCAAAAGTAAAGTGGAAAAAATGAAAGAAAAGGTAAGGTTGTTAGAAATTATTTCAGAAACTCAGGTGAATCTGCTGTTAATTGATGCTTAAGATACCAAAATAAGAAAATATTTCCTGATTAAGTTAATTTTGCAGAGAGAAGAAAGTCCAATTCATTTGTTTTCAGTAGCACAGACTGCATTCATAGCTTCAACTGACCAACCAAATCATACAGTTAAATGTGTTGGTTAAAAAAGCATTCAAAATACAAATTTCCCAAGTGGTAGGATACATAATGCAGGAATATGAAGTATTTGTGCCAAGAAACATATCTGCTGTGCCCTCAAACAGCCAGGTAAGGTGAAGATAGCCTTGTCCATTTGCTCCTGTGCACCATACAACAACAGCATTTTCCTGTTGTGTTGTGATGTGAAGAAGGCTGAGAAGCTAATCAGTAGGTGTTCAGGGCTGACTCTTTGAAACTGATAGGAAAGGGAAATTTTGCCATGTTTTTTTCTTGTTAAGCTTAAATATATGGATGAAACACTTTCCCAAACTTACATGTCGGTTTGTTTCTTCCCTGTTGTCTTTAGTGTAGTTATAGCAGACAGTTGTAAATAATTCCATTTATCATGGTCTGCATTCCATTTTGGATACCCTCAAAATACAGTTTTTTTTTAAAAAAAAAAAACTTGCACATAGGAAAGGTCACTTCTTGTGGTATATAGTCCTATGGGTTTTTACAAATAGGTAATCAGCTACCCAACACAACAATACCATACAGAAGCTCCATCAACCCCAATTCTCAGGATAGAAAACTTTATAGCCAGCCCCTCCCTCCATCACTATTTCAAGCAACCACAGATTAGTTTTCTGTTCTGATTGAAGTTTTTTACAGAGTGTTATATAAATAGAATAGTAACAAATGCAGCCTTTTGGGTCTAGCTTTATTCACTTAGAAAAATGCATTTAAGATTCTTCCATGTGCTTGTACTAGTATTTACAATGCATAATATACTCTTACAACTAAAATATAAAAAGGTAAATAACTTTTTAAACTGAGAAAAATATCCAAAAGACATTTCTTCAAACAACACATGATAAGATGCTGAACAGAGGAAGATGGCGGCGAGGGGAGTGCATTGCCCCTGTGTGCTGCTTCACTGTGTGGGAGTATGACAAGTCAGGACGGCTAAAGGCTATCTTGTTAGGAATTTCCAGCAATAGTGGGGTGCTCCGGAACCTGGAGGAAGGATTTCCATCGCACGAGGATCGGCTACGGGGACTCAAACGCGAGAGGTTTGTTGCACGGAGGGTAACACTGCTTATTCAGCAAATCGCCCCACGGCTAGAGTCTGCAGCGCGTGCTGGGAAACGAGGAGATAGCGACGCAGGGATACAGCGCTGCAGTTTCTGCCAGCCGTGCAAGCACCGTACTCAGGGCTGAATTCCGGGTTCGAGACGGGGGAAGGAAGCGGTCCATCTCGGTTCTCCACACCGGTCAGACCACAGAGGAGGCCAGCAGCCACCATGTTGGAAAGCTGACGTCACCATCCCTGTTTTCGACTGACCGCAGCTCATTCAGCCATAGAACAGGTAATTTCAGGCTGCCATTCGCCTGCGGCTTGCAGACAGATTGCTAGGGTTCAGTGCCTGGGTGCTTCTTAGAACCTGATCTTATCGGAGCGAACACCGAGCGCGGGGCGGCCGAGTTCCGGCTCCCAGAATTGCCCTGGCCCAGGGCTGCGGAGGCTGCTTCTTGGACCCTGCTCCTATCAGAGCATACACCAAGCACTAAGCAGCCGAATTCCGGCTCCCGGAACTGAGCCCGCGGGGACTGCTTCTTGGAGCCTACTCTTATAGGAGCTTACACCGAACACAGAGCGGCCGAGTTCCAGCTCCTGGAACTTCCCTGGCCCGGGGCTAGGAGCCCGCGGAAACTGCTTCTCGGTCCGGGTCCTGCTGAGGGCCGGTCAGGACTCACCCGTTGCTTTGGTTGCCCGGCAAGGGGAACGAAATGCTGCCATTCGCATAGGATACCAACATGGCAGAGATCTGATGTCATCAGAAAGCGGCGGAGGAGAGAACTTCATCAATACCAGCGACGACATAAACAGTTGGTCTCCTGGTAGGGGGGGTGAGGCACAGACACCCGAGTCTCCTCAATTTGTCGTCGAGCCAGAGGGGAGGAGCCGGGCCGCCGCCAGTGCCCGGAGCAGGCCCAGCGGCTCGCCAGCGTGGTGACCGCGTGACCCCAATTGGAGAGGGGGCGGAGCGGAGCCGCCACCTGCACCCGCAAGGTGGGCAGACCCGCGACCCAGTGGTACATGGGCGTGGTAGGAGGGGCAGGGCAGAGCCGCCGTTCGCACTTGCAAGGTAAACAGACCTGTGACAGCCTGGCGGGTCAGGCCCAGTGGCCTGCCAGTGTGGTACACACATCACCCCAACTGGAGTAGGGGCAGAGCAGATCCTTCTCCCACGCCCGGATCAGGCCCTGCCGGTGTGGTGGCCACGTGACCCCAATTGGAGTGGGGGCGGAGCGGAACCACCACCCGTGCCCGCAGGGTGAGCAGAGCTGTGACCAACCTGCAGATCAGGCCCAGGGGTCCGCAGGCGTGGTAGGAGGGGCAGGGCAGATCCGCCGCCCGCGCCTCCAAGGTAGGCAGACCTGCAACAGACCGGCGGATCAGGCCCAGGAGCCTGCCGGCGTGGTACACACACCACCCTAATTGGAGTAGGGGCAGAGCAGAGTCGCCGCCCGTGCCAGGAACAGGGCCAGCGTCCTGCAGGCGGGGTAGTCACGACACCCCAATTGGAGTAGGGGCAGAGCAGAGCCTCCACCCGTGCCCGAAAGGTGGGCAGATCTGTGACCGACCAGCGGGACAGGCCCAGTGGCCTGCCGGTACGACAGACACGTCACCCCATTTGGAGTAGGGGCAGAGTAGAGCTGCCGCCCGCGCCTGCAAGGTAGGCAAACCTGCAACTGACTGGCGGATCAGGCCCGGTGGCCTGCCAGCGTGGTACACTCGTCACCCCAATTGGAGTAGGGGCAGAACAGAGCTGCCGCCAGCGCCCAGAACAGGCCCAGTGACCTGCCTGCGTGGTAGCCACAACACCCCAATTGGAATAAGGAGAGAGCAGAGCCACCGCCCGCGCCTGCAGGAAAGATACGCAAGCAGTATGAAAAGACAAGGAACGAAAGGACCACAAGCAATGCAGGTCAACACAACTTTAGAAGAGGTAACAGCTGCAGCAGATGGAATGTCAGATAAAGAATTCAGGATATACATGCTTCAGATGATCTGGAGTATCAAGGAAGACATTAAACAGCAAAATCAGACAATGAAAGATCACTTCGACAATGAATTACGCAAACAAATCCAGGAAGCAAAGGATCAACTATACAGGGAGATAGAGGTTATAAAAAACAAACAAACAGAAATCCTAGAAATGCAGGAAGCAATAAACCAACTTAAAAACTCAATGGAGAATACTACCAGCAGAGTAGAACACTTAGAAGATAGAACATCAGACAATGAAGACAAAGTATTTCAACTGGAAAAGAACATAGACAGCTCAGCAAGACTGTTAAGAAACCATGAGCAGAACATCCAAGAAATATGGGATAACATTAAGAGACCAAACTTAAGAGTCATTGGGATACAGGAAGGTACAGAGCTCCAAACCAAAGGAATGAGCAGTCTATTCAATGAAATAATACGAGAAAACTTCCCAGACTTGAAGAATGAGACAGAATCCCAAATCCTAGAAGCCTACAGGACGCCGAATGTGCAAAATCATAAGAGACCCACACCTAGACACATTATAATGAAGATGCCCAACATACAGAATAAGGAGAGAATTTTAAAAGCTACAAGAGAAAGGAAGCAGATTACATTTAGGGGTAAGCCAATCAGGATAACAGCTGATCTTTCAACACAGACTCTGAAAGCTAGAAGATCCTGGAATAACATATTTCAAACACTGAAAGAAAATGGGTTCCCACCAAGAATTGTGTATCCAGGGAAATTAAGCTTCAGGATGGAAGATGAAATTAAAACCTTCCACGATAAACAAAAGTTAAAAGAATTTGCAGCTGCCTAAGGGGGTTGCTGAAGTGCTGAGCGTGGTGCTCAAAGCAGCAGCTTTAATAGAGATTTCGCACAGTCTGTTAAAGCTCCTTTCACCGTTAATCTGTAGTGGACCACTTTGCCAAGGAGCAGAAAGAACAAAGAAATCGAAAAAGAGATGCTTGGCTGCTCAGAGCCGCGGGCGCTTTGCTCCCATCTGCTTCCTCTTTCGCTTCGCTCCGGGTGGAGAAGCTGAATGTGTAATCAGCAGTGGATTGTAAGTACCCGAGGCAAAGAAAGCTCAGTGCGCCCCGCCTTTTTTTTTTTTTTTTTTTTTTTTTTGAATATTTTTTATACAGGGAGAGTTTGTGGATTGGGATTGTTGGCGGGGCTGTGGTTTCTGTGCCGAAAATCCACTCCGCGGGAGCCGCCATTTGCTTTCTGCTTGCTGTCTTGATGGCTCTGTATACACTGTCCGGCAGCCGCACCTAGAGGTTGGAGCTGGGCTGCGTGCCGAGCCCTGTCCTCCGAAGGCTGGACTGCAGCCTCGAGCGTCTCTGTGGCCTGTTCGCCGCTGCACCTTCGGGCAGAGCCTGCTCTGGGGTCGTTCTGCACCCCCCTGCCAGGGGACCCGTGCTCCGGAGGAGGGGGACGGAGAGCCGCGGCGGCAGCCGCTTGGGCCCCTGGGGCCTGGCACCGGGCTGAAGAGCTGCGGAGGCCAGGGCAGCTCTGCTACGGTCGCAGACAAGCGCGACGCTCGTCAGCGCGGCCCAGAGATGGAGGCGACGGCGGCAGGGTTTCATTTCTAGAAATCTGGACTGGAAACAGAAGCAGCAGTTTGTATAATCCCAAGAACTTGCTTATACCAGGAAGCTGTAAGGGCAACATGAATATCACTGAGGAGATGTAACATGGTGGCAGGCGCAGAGAGATCAAGTCTCTGACATCTTCAACTGCGCGGGCATAGGGAGCCGTAAACTG